CAGTATGGTTGTACTTGCATATGTAAAAAGCTCTAAAAATAAATAAAAATTAATATTTTAATACTTTTTCCAGGATTTTTGAAATTCATCTAAAGTGCAACATTTGAAAAAAATTTGCTTATTGTCTTAGTATGAATTGTCTTCTACAGTCAAGTGGCCAGTGTCTTCTCCATGGCAATTTCTTCCTGAATTCTCATATTACCATTCCCTTTCTTAGTAAATTATTTGGTTCTGATGGGAAATCAAACTTCTCAGTCTGAATTCATTTTGCTTGGCCTGTCAGACCTCACGGATTCTCAGATCCCTGTATTACTGCTGATCCTCCTCACCTATGTGGTGACACTGGTTGGGAATCTTCTCATCATTTCCCTGGTGGTCACACACTCCCATCTGCAGACCCCCATGTACTTTCTTCTGGGAAACCTCTCGGTGTTAGACATCCTCAATTCCTCTATTTCTTCATCTCTTCTGTCTTTTGACATCTTTACTGGAAACACACTGATTTCATACCCAACTTGTATCAACCAGGTCTTCTTCTTCACCTGGTTTCTCAGCACTGAATCCTGTATACTGGAGATAATGTCCTATGATCGCTATGTTGCCATCTGTCATCCTTTGCGTTATAGAACCATGATGAGAATTCACTTGTGTGTCCAGGTGGCATTCATCTTTTGGGTCTTCAGATTTGTTTTTTCATTGTTGCACACGCTTTGTGCACTAAGACTGGCCTTCCCTGACCCCACCACCATCCCAAGCTTATTCTGCGAATTATATCAGCTGATTCAGCTGTCATGTTCTGACACATCCCTCAACTACTTACTTTTATTATTTGATGTTGTAAGTTTTGCAGTCACTGGCTTTTTCATTACTTTCCTTTCCTATGTCTACATATTCAAAACCATCCTGAAAATTAAACTGAAGGATGGAAGACAGAAAGCTTACTCCACCTGCAGTTCTCACCTCGCTGTGGTCTTCATTTTTTACGGGACTGCTTTTTTCAACTACTTTCACCCCAAAACTAAGGATTTTCTGGTAGGCAGATTGATATCTATATTTTACACAGTTCTCACCCCTCTCCTAAACCCGATTATTTACAGCCTGAGAAACAGTGAACTGAAAAGGACTCTTCAGAAATGTATATCTAGATTAGACTCCATGAACTCTATATACACTATGAACTGTGGTAGGAAATCTGCCAAATAAAATTGCTAATTTCAGAACTACTTGTATTTTTACCTGATTTTCTGGGTTTTTATTTTAGTGAGGTGAAATTTGTAATTCCAATGAACACTCACTTTAAAGTGTATGTTTCCCCAAATAATAATATTTGAGATATGTCTCTGTGTTATCATGTACTTGTCAGGGGGAGTATTTGTCACAAGGAAAAGAAAGGCATTTGCCTTGGGTGGCATTTTTCAGGGGGGCGGCACCACCCACTGGAAGAGGGGTTATCGTGCACCAATTTCTGTGTGGTGATCATGTCAGGGAGGGTCTGAGGGGCACCGGGGCTGGGTGGCAGGTGGAAGAACGGAGTGAAGGGAGCCGGGGAGAAAGGCTGTGAAACTCCAGTAAGGGAGCTGGGATTCCTAGGGCAGCACAAAACATAAATAAACTACTTGTATGAAAAAAAAGTCTGTTCTCTTTGTATTGATTTGGATTTTCCAGTGATCCTGCCAAAACTGCTTTCCTATTTTACTATGACCATGCCAGGAACAGAAGCAGGTCTGAATCGTATAGCAGATAGCAGGTTAGGTTGCTGGGTTCTCCTAAAATAGGTATCCCCCAGTTGGGAGGATGGGATTTATTACAGACAAGTAGGCAGAGGCCTGCCAAAGAATAGGTTGAGGTTGATCTACTGAAGTTGGAGAGTGCAAAATCTGGTGCAGGTCTACATAAAAACCAATCAGCTTCCAGGTTTTTTTTTGTCAAAGCTTAATTGAACAGGGTAAAGTTAGAAGCTGATTGGCTCCCATGCACAGCTGCACCAGATTTTACACTCTCCCTTTTTAGTAAATCAACCCCATTGAGCCGATGAGCTTGAGATGGCAATAGCTGTTTTTGTGTCTATTGACATTTGCAAAAGATTGTCATTTGAGGTGAGAATTGTGTCTGAATTTCTCATCTGTGAGTTAATTGCTTCAATAACCCCTGGCCATAGATGGGTCAGTTTTTGTTGTTTATCCAGGGGTTGAAGAAAAAACCTGAACCGATTCCCTCATCCATTCATTTGAGGTGGATGGGGGAATCCTCCCACAGATCACTGCTGGAGGCTACAGCCTGCAATGCTGATCTAGAAGAAATTTTTTAGCAGGGAGGTTGTGCAAAAGTTGATCTGTAAATTGCCTTCTGTACAACCACAGTGCTCATGCATGGATCAAAATTTGGCTGGTCTCTACTGAAGCACCCACATTTCAATCAACCTGTCGGCAGCTGAACTCTGGTCTCCTATTGCTTACCATGACCTTTCCCACTAAAGTGTAAAAATGTTTGTTTTTTCTGTTAAAATGTATATATCATTGCTCGTGATTGTAACTTTTCATATAAATATGTGGGTTTAAGAACCAAGTGTATAAAGCCTGAAGAAGGGATCTGGGCTGGAGATCCTCCATCTTTAAAGTGGTAATAAACTATGCAAGGTCACTTCTACCTACAGGCCAGCTTATAATGATAACATCACCGTTTAGGACATATTCACTATTACTGCAGTCAGTGATGTCCCTGGTGCATGTGCACTGCATTCTGAATGGATGGCATGCGCCACGAACGTCTGTGACTCCCATGTGCTGGAGTGACGCCATAGTGGCTAAGCCATTCAAATGGCCAGAGCTTGTGAACCCACAAGGAAGTCCGGGTGAAGATGGAAGTCCTGGCAGTGGTGACAGCACACCTCTGGAGGGCTTTGTTTTAAGGTAAGTCTTTCATAATGGATGCATATTAGCCCATTATGACATTAAATTGCAGGGGACCAACTTTTTTGTATTTTTTATTACCGCTTTAATTACTTAGCCAATAAAGGGTATCCCCTAGACTCCAAACTTTCTGTAATAATTGCTAGCTAACATGGTGAAACACTCTACCATACTTGTTTAAAAAAAAGAATTGCACTGTTGCCAATATGTATTTTCCTCTTGTTTGTTGAATAATGCATATTCAGAAAATTGGTGGAATATCTCTTGTGAAGGAATGGTAAAAAACTGTTCTTTTCTTATGACCTTTTATTAATAAATATTTTGGCAGTGGAGCTGCATGGTCAGGGGATTCACCCATTACACTATATAACAGATATTATTATTCTCTTTGGCTTTTTTTCATGTCGTCACTTTACATTATTGCCCTCATGGAGTGGACTTAATGGATTACACTGTTCAACAAATTTTTATTTTTTGCCAGTTTTGGAAACAAAACGATCCATTTCTTAATGAATTTCACATTCTGAGTTCAAATATAACAATGAAATTTGTCAATTGGCTCTAGTTTTTCTGTAAACGGAACGTTTTTCTACTATAGGCGTAATGACTACATAATGCACAATAATTATATAGATAGATGTCTTTCCACAAATATAAAGCAAGTGATATTGACTACATAACAAAGCCTAAATGGCATAATATATTGCATAGGATTACCAAGAAAAATTATAGCCATAAGCTAAGTTAAATCATTTTAATACTTAGGATTCTCACTAGTTTTGTCTTCAGTTTGTGTCGGTTTTGCTTCTCTTGGCTTTTCTCTTGTATTCGAGGAAAGGGCCATCTCTTACAACTGCACGTGACTACACGCTTCAGGTTCTTCCTCACTTGACTCAACCACAAAAGATTCTGGTGCTTTAGGAATTGGTAGCCCCTCTCCATGAGGAACTGGACGTATTGCCGATGGAATATTTGGATAGCGCACAGATAACTTTTTCTTCTTATTTAGCCCTTTTACAATTGGAGGCCCCATACAAAAGTAACAATTACTAACATGATCTGTTGGCTCTCTCCAAATCATTGGCACAGCGAAAGGCATAGATGCCTTTTTTCCATTCAACCATTGCTCCAGTGCCGTCCCACAAGAATTGCAGCATATATGTGGTGCCCGGCTCTTGTCCTGGTCTCCTATCTTGCAGCCAAAATACAAGTTGTAGGCTTTCTTAATCATTCCTGTTATCCTCCTTTTTTGTGAGATAAAATTTATTTCACCGCAGATATAGCAGAAATTATCTGCTTTATTCACACAAGTTCGAGGCATTACTGAGTAGCCTATATAAGCAGAAAACGAAATGTAAAGACGCTGTCCAACTACAATCAGCTACAGATACTGCAGCTTTTATGCAGTGAAGTGATGCAATTAAAGGCTAATATTGCATCATCTCAGTATACATGCAATTTTCTATTGGTCACCAGTATCAATTGCGCAATATGCAGATGAAGTTGCATCATAATTTTGAATGGCTTACGTCATTAGATGGGTGAATATATCATGGAAACTAGAACCAATCAACATTTTTTAGGGTCATTTTCGTTTTCAGCACCCCAAAATTATGTAAGATTAGCTAATTTTATGCACAAAACTTTTTACCTGTTGAACAGTGTTATCTATTACATTTCTTTTTTTTTTTTTTTTTCAAAATATTTTTAGTAGAAAATAAAGTATAGCAGTATACATACAAATACGGATCACAGTCCGAACATAGACACATCATGTAGCATCCCGTTACGCAGACGGGTCATGGGTTTATACAAAAGTACACAGCTGGTCGAAATATATCCTTAATGGAAGTGTATATGGCACACCAGTAGATACAAAGAGTATAGTAGATAAATCAAAATGGGTATAAGGATTACAGTCTTATGTACTGGTGAGCCCTTATGTCGGCCGAATGTGACGTGTTGGGTATTGCTAGCACATGATGACTTATATGACAAAATTTGTGTGTCCATTTTGGGAGCGGTTGAGCCATGTGAAATCAGGCACATTTGTATAAGAGATAAAATGCCATATTTGTTGGGATTTGGGAGGCTTACCCTCCCTGGCGGTATTCCCGAGTGTAGCTCGGGGTAAGGTTTCAGTACCACAAGCGGTAACCCCGAGCTACACTCGGGAATACCATGTGGCGCTGCTCCACGATCCCTGTATCACTTACCTTGTCCTGCGCTCCCACGATGTCCCCCCTGCAGTGTCCCCGACAATGTAATCTGGCCGATGCCGGCATCTGTCATCTGGGTTCCGTCCCCTGTGAGCGTCGGGACGTACGGGGGACGGAACGGCGGGAAATTCAAAAATGACAAAAAGTGACATTCACTAAAATCACTAAAATCACATAGTATTCCATTACTGTATCAAACCATTTCACATAAATTTTGTCCCGAGTGCTTTGTCCGGCGCCCTGCCTGCATTTTTACTGTTCTTATTGCCTGGAAACTGAGAAACGTCCATGGTGTCCAAAAAGCGTCACTTTAGGTCAAAAGCGGTTTTAGACCGGCTAGAGAACAGCGATAGTAAATCAGAACCACTTGCAGAATTGAGTGATAATGATTGGTGGGGGAAATTCCTCATCAGACACTGAAAACGATTCTGCGACTTTGCTCAGCGATGTGCGAACTTGGCGCTCTATTTCAAATTTAAGTGTTTTTGGTTTGATTATATTATTAAATTAAATTTATTATTATTATATTATTATTTTTTATGATTATTTATTAAATTATAATTTATGATTTAGTGTTTAAAATTTTATCATACCCCGGGATGTTTACTAGACTCTTATTCGGGCAGATTTCAGTGAGTTATTCCTAAAAATTACAGACCTACAATAAAAAAAAAACATATTTCCATGCAAAATAATGGTACCGCTTTCAGCACCAAAAATCTGAAATAATCATACCGCCAGGGAGGTTAAGATAAAGAAAAGTCAGAAAAGAGAATAGCTAGAGAGAAAGATGGGAATGTAACGTGAGGTAGTGGTGGGGGGGGGGGGGAGAAAAAAAGGGTGTGTCTAGGGGGAATGGGTAGGGAGGAAAGGAATGTTAAAGTGGGTAGTTATGGATAGAATCAGTCATATAATTTTGTATGGACCACAAGGATAGTCATATATGGTGGGATGCAATACATGCAGGATCGGTCCAAAGGGCAGCGCGTGAATCAAGAATCCAAGACGCAGGCCACGATGCCGATTACATTTCATTTACTTTGTGTTATCCCTTTGTATCTAGCGCTGCACTTTGCTTTTTATATAAACAGAATTGTTAACATTATTTTTATAACTACCATAGTTACAAAACAAGGAAATATTGGTCACTTAAATGTTAATGTTTAACAAAATGATATTTAGAAAAAATAAGAATATGTCCTTATAAACAGTAGAACATGGATCTACATTAACAGTTTGGTTTTTTTTTTTTGCTTTGTTAATTGTGATATTATTATAAATGAAACAGCATCTATTCCATTGGGCTGAAGGTCCCAATTCCCAACAATTATTCCCTTGCTACAGCAGAGCAAGCAAAAAAGATATTACTTTTCATTGAATAAAAGCCATATTATTACTATATTTAAATTTAATGATGTATTTGTTGTCTAAGTCCAAGAGGAATCCCTGCTGACATAATTTTCTTTTCTAGTGAATAGAGACAACAACAAAAAAGAACTCTTTAATGCTTTCATTACTGACCACGTACAGAGTATTGTCCATTTGTTCTTGTACTGGAAAGAAAAATGAAAGAAAATCTATTTTTTTTAAAGACGTAGATGGCTTAGAACCTTAGTTGTGTATATACTGCTATCTGTGACACGGACAGTGATTCATCCTCTCACTTTCTGTCTTACTGGCTGCTATCAAAAGAACAGAAATGAATAGAAGGTTTAGAAGTAAGAAATTCTAAACCTTCCCTACTTTGTTATAAAATAATAAATTGACAGACAGGGGCAGACTGACAACTCATGGGGCCCCCGGGCAATAGGGGATCATGGGGCCCCTGTGTCCTTGCCCAAACTCAAAGAAGCTTATGAAAAAGGTAACAGGGGCATCTCATGGGGCCCCCTACTGACCCCGGGCCCTCAGGCAGTGTCCGAGTTTCCAAATGGTCAGTCCACCCCTGTTGACAGATTATATAACATGTATTGTAACTAATCGATAAGCAGATACATTTAAATCAACAAAAAAGAATAATAAATAATCAAATATTGCATTTAAATGATTGCCTCTTAATTGCAGATAAATTGTATCTTTGCTGCAGTATTACAGTCCGATCATTTACATTTTTACTTAAATGTCTCATTGTAGAATATTATTTTTGCTGCAAATCTAAGTTGCAAAATGTCAATAAACTCTATCCATATTTCAAAGCATGTTTGTGTGTATCTTGTGGTGATTACATTGTAGATCCAATTCTTTAAAATAATATATATATAGTGAATACCGAACCAAGTATCATTTTGTGGTGTTAAGTCATTTGTATTGAATTTTCTAATGATAACATAAAAAAGCAGTAAAATAAATCTCTTGCTGCCAGCAACAAAAGCACCTTCAGCAACAAAACACCCCTCAGCAATGATAAACCCATTCGAGTAATAATACACCCCCTGCCAGCAACAATGATCTCCTAGAGGCAAGCAACAACAAACTCCTCCCTCAATAGTAGATCCCTCCCAGCAACAACTGACTCTTCAGCAACAATAGACCCCTCCCTCATTGAGAGATTCTCCCCCTCCCTAGCAATAATAGATTCCCCAACAGCCGGCATCAATAGACCCTCCAGCACACCCTAGCACCCCTTACCATTATATACATTCAAGCCTTTGAATGCACTGAGAATTTTGTATACTAGTTATTGTACAAATGTTTTATACAAATTTTTATTTGAAATCCTAATAATGCATACCCAGATTAGGACTTTGCAGGGGGACTTTATGGACGCTGGTTTGACCCCATTAACCATTAAAAAATTGAAGGTATGTTCTTAAAATGAAAAATTTCAAACAAAATTCTGCTAGTGTATACCCAGTCTAAAGTGGCTGTAAAGGCTAATGCTGTTTATTTACCTTAATACATTTTCTACATTAAGGTAAATAACGTTTTAGGTGCAACTCCCTCCCTGCCTCCCCCAAATAATCTGAATCTGATCTCAATCCAGTGCAGTGCCAGAGTGCAGTGGTGCTGCTCTCTCTCTCCTTCTTCACTGGTTCCATTGGCTACTGCTGCTGTCAATCAAATTCAGTGAGGATGGAGCAGGGGCTGGGCTAAGCTGCACTGTGTGAGTCAATAGACACATACACTTTGGCCTTGAGAAGCAAAAGTGCTATGAGGGCACTCCACAGGGGGGAAAATCCAGGAGTGCCAGCAGGGAATCCAAGAAGAGGAGGATCGGAACTGCTCTATGCAGAACCATTGCCCACAGCAGGTAAGAATAGACGTGTTTTTTTGTTTGTTTTTTTTTTACTTCACAATCTCTTTAACCTCCTTGGAGGTATTCCCGAGTGTAGCTCGGGGTAAAGTTTCAGCACCACAAGCGGTAACCCCCCCGAGCTACACTCGGGAATACACTGCAGCGCTGCTCCGGGATCCTTTCTGTACTTACCTTGTCCTGCGCTCCTATGATGTGTCCCCTGCAGCGTCCCCAGCCATCTCCTCCGGCCGATTCTGTCTTCCGGGTTCCCCCTGCGACGTCGGGACGTACGGGGGATGGAACTGGCGGGAAATTAAAAAATGTCAAAAAGTGACATTCACTAAATACACTAAAATCACAGAGTATAACATTCCTGTATCAAACCATTTCACATACATTGTGTCCCGAGTGCTTTGTCCGGCGCCCTGCCTGCATTTTTACTGTTCTTTCTGCCTGGAAACTTAGAAACGTCCATGGCGTCCAAAAAGCGTCCCTTTAGGTCAGACGCGGTTTTAGACCGGCTAGAGAACAGCGATAGTAAATCAGAACCACTTGCAGAATTGAGTGATAATGATTGGTGGGGGAAATTCCTCATCAGACACTGAAAACGATTCTGCGACTGAGCTCAGTGATGTGCGAACTTGGCGCTCTATTTCACATTTCAGTGTTTTTGGTTTGATTATATTATTGAATTACATTTATTATTATTTTTTTATGATTATTTATTAAATTATAATTTATGATTTCGTATTTCAAATTTTATCCTACCCGGGATGTTTACTAGACTCTTGTTCGGACAGATTTCAGGGAGTTATTCCTAAAAATTACAGGCCTACAATAAAAAAAAAGACATATTTCCATGCAAAAAAATGTACCGCTTTGAGCACAGAAATATGGACATAATCAGAGCAGGGCCCTCTCGAACTCCTCATGTATTGTATTGTTGCTGTATTGTCTCATGTTCTGTCCCCACTATAATGTACAGCGCTGAGGAAACCTTTTAGCGCTATATAAATACTAAATAATAATAATAAATGATTATCATCAGACCACTAGGGAGGTTAAGAGAACACTATGTGTACAGATGCACTTGCAATGTTCCCTGCAGCAAATAATTTGTGAAAGAAAACTATAGTTCTACTTTGAATAATAACACATTGTCTTCTTAGCTCCATGCACCACCCTGATATATTTTGAGAACTGATTTGAATATTGAAATCTTTATGAAAAGCTGGAAATATGAAATAAAATATAAAAACATTGTAAATAATATAAAAAAGCAAAAATCTAAAGGGAGTTGTCTGAGTTGCCCTGCAGTAAGCTGACTTTAGTTTCTGGAATACGGTATATTCTTTATCACAGCGTATGTACGGTAAATGATACCATAAATGTAGATAAGCTTCGGTTTCCAGTATTCCATGTCTCGCCACACCTCGAAGGAGGAATATTGTAGTTTCTCTTCCTGTTCATGCTGGGTGTGTAAGAGGAGAGATCAAAGATCACATTTGCTGTGTCTCACCAAGACGCACACAGGACAGGAGGAGAAGGTAACATTCCATATGGGTGGGGTGAAGGGAGACTTTACGGGGGTTACAATGGTCCAGAGACTTATATTCTGAACCAAATATTATATGTGTACATTTATTTTATTTTAATTATTTCTTAATCATGTTGGTTGCCAATGGATTAAAGTGTGCCGTGTGTGACATACTCTGGAAAACACTTTTTTTCCAGAAAGATTCTAGTAACCAAAAATCTTTTGTTTAATTTACATGTCAGTAACATTTACTGGGAATATGAGACAGAATGATAGAGAAAGGTCAACTCAAACATATGAAACTGTCTTCAATGACCACTCAGGGGTTTCTCTAAATTATAATGGGTTGTGTAATTCTGACCTCCGGTCTTACATATTTGTACCATCCTGCTCTGTTGTACAGGCTCCTCTCTTGGACTGAAATTACTTCCTCTGACATCA